CTTGGCAGTCAGGCTACTGCAGGGGTGGTGTGCCTGTCGCCTCAAGTTAGAGGGGTGCCTCACCGTCCTGTGGCATGTCTTCTTGATCACTCCTCTTGTAGGATGTTGAGCGTTGTGTATTTGGGAACCACTGCCCCTCAGTTTGCAGCCTCCTCATTTGTGCAGCCGGCCGAGCAATGCTAGTGCAGAAAGGTACCTACTGGTGAGCCTTTTTTTGTCGTTTGTTTGCCTTTCCAGTCTTCTGGTTGGTCACTTGGGACATTTTCTGGAATTTTTTTTTCTTGGTACTGGGGATCGAACTCTGGAACTTGTGCTTGCGAGGCAGGTGACAGAACCACTGAGCTAAATCCCCAGCACTTGGAATTTTTTGCTTTATTTATTTTCATTTTATTTTATTTATTTATTTATTTTGCTTTATTTATTTTCAGTGTAGCTTGTGCCGCTGCACATACCTTGCCATGTGGTGAGACTATGGATGTGGGACTGCCTGATTCCTCAAGAGGAGCTCTGCTGGGTACACATAGGGACACTTCAGAAGTCCCCTGGGCCCTCCTGAGCTGCACAGCCTCCCAGGAGACCAGCCCTGTTGAACCCCCAGACCCTTGCCACCTGATTTCCTAGAGTGGGCACTGGTTGGCTTGTGAGGGGTAAGCCCAGTGACCTTGCTTCCTTTGTCCTCTGCTGCAAACTGTCACCTTTCCAGCTCTGCAGAGAAACCCACAGTGTGTCTTCTGGTGCACAGGCTGAAGTGGTGTATTAGTTACTTTCCCTTTGCTGGGGCACAACACCTGACAACCACGATTTAAAGAGTAGAGAATTAATTTGGCTCATGGTTTTGGTGTATTCGGTGCATGATCCACTGGCTCTAAGGCAGAAAATACTGTGGAGGAAGAGTGTGGCAAAAGAAAGCTGCACAACCCATGGCCACAGAGTTGGGGACAGTGACAACACAGCCTTCCAGGTCATGCACACAAGCTTTTTGGGGCACATTTTAGATCTAAACCATAACATTCTGCCCAAAAGGCTCACGTCCATCTCATGCAAAATGCAATCAGTCCATCTTTAAGGGTTGCCAAGGTCATGACAACTGACATTTTTCACTGCTGAAAAATCCCAAGGACAAACTCTTAGCTGTGAGCCCCTGTGAAAATTAAAAAAGGAAGTCAGGGATTTAGCTCAGTGGTTCCGCCGCCTGCCTTGAAAGCGCAAGGTCCTGAGTTCGATCCCCGGTACCAAAAAAGAAAATTAAAAAGGAAGCTAAATACTTCCAAAATACAATGACACGGAGTAAATGTTCCAATTCCAAGAGGGAAGAATAGGAGACTAGAAAGGAATTGGGCCAAAGCAAGACTCAGACCTAGTAGGGTGAACATTAAATGCTGTAACTCCATGTGCAGCACCCAGGACTGGTTGTGGTGAGGTGTGAGCTCCAAGGGGCTGGGCAGCCCCATCCCTGTGCCCTTGCTGTTTGCAGTCATCCTGGCTTCTCTCTCGGGCTGGCTCTGTTTGCTTCCTGTAGTTTTCCTCAGCAGATGTTCCACATTCTTGGCATCTCCAGCTTCCTGGGGTCTCCACTGCACCTTCGGCTTCTCTCACAGCTTCATGCATCACCCTGTTAGTGGGTCCTTGCCTGGCCTCCCAGGCCTCCCTCTGAAATCTGGGTGGAGCCTCCATGCCCCCACAACTCTTGCGTTCTGCATGCCTGAAAAACCCCATCACCATGCAGATGATGCCAGGGTATCCCACCAGCTCCAGCAGTAGCCCAGGCCCATAGCTACAGTGCTTGGGGTGATTGAATTAAGGGCCTAGGAGGCCTTGAATGAACAGGGCACCCTGCACTCTCTTTTCAAAGCAAAGTCTTTCAAAATTTACCCTTACACACTTTTGAGCCTATGATAGGTGTGGTCTGGCTATTTCCTGAGATCCCTTCAAGGCATCTTTCCTACTGTCTGATACAGAGTACTTGGCTTCTTTTCAGTGGCAGTAATCTCTTTAGCAGCTACACTGTCCTTGGGCCCCAGCTTTGTAGGTGCTTCCTTTCTGGTGAAACTGCAAATTTTTCATGCCTTCAGCTTTACTTTTACTTTTTGCCCCTGATTCTCACTATAGATATGGCTAGAAGTGTCCAGAAGTACCCATGCCACAGCCTGAGCATTGGACTGCCTTGAAATTTTCTCTGCCAGATTAATCCACCACCTTTAAATCCAGCCTCACACAGTCTTAGGACATGGACAAAACAGACAAATTCTTTATGTGTTTGTGTGAACATGCATGGCCTCTAGTCTGGTTTCTAACAAAGTCCTCTTTTTTTTTCGAGTACCAGGGATTGAACTCGAGACCTTGTGCTTTCCAGGCAGGCGCCAGAACCACTGAGCTAAATGCCCGGCCCACAAAGTCCTCATTCTTATTTGAAACTTCCTGAGTCTGGCCTTTACCGTGCACATTCCTATCTGCATCCTGGTCTTCTGAGCTCCAACCAGAATCACCCATCAAGCTCAGCTCATAGCATCACAGCATTCAGGGCTTCTCTAGCTGGCATCCCCAAACCATTCCGCATTCTTCCTGCAAACCACTTTCAAAGGCTTCCACATGGTCAAGTATAATCACAGCAACTGCCCCAATTCTGCATACAGTTTTGTGCAGTTCTTTTCCATGGCTGGGACAAAATACCCAACACCCAAAGTTAAAGGAGGAAAAGTTTATTTTGGCTCACAGTTTTTTGAGATTTCAGTCCATAATTGGCTGGCTCCATGGTAGGGTCGCATGGCAGAGGGGCATCACAGAGGAGAAACAGTTCATGGCAGGCGGAAGACAGCCAGAGCAGCAAGGAAGGGATAAGAACAACCACCTAAGGACTTTTCTTTTTGTGGTACCAGGGATCGAACTTGGGTCCTTGCGCTTGCGTAGCAGGCAGTGAAACCACTGAGCTAAATCCCTGGCCCAGGACCTTTCTGTCCTTTATATCTTAGACCCTTAATTGTGGCATCATGTCCTTGATCTCAACAGCACAAACCCTAGATTCAGCCATCCTCAAAAAGCCCCTGTGACTGCATGAGGCTCTGGGGGAACATCTAGACACAGCCATAACGATACCCAACCTGCAACTTATGAGGAGGGAGTTGATTTGGTTCGTGGTTTTTGGGGATTAGTTTGCTGTTGTGAGAAGAGCAGGAACAATAACGTCTTTTCAGCATTATCTACTTTATCATAAGAAACTTCAGCCACACACACAGGTAGAATATCTTATCCATTTCTCTACATTCATCTCTAGATTTGGTTAGGATGAGTTTGCCACATGGGCTTTGTCTTCCCTTTGTTACTTCCCCTCCCTCCCTCGGGGGACACTTGAGGGTGCACCTCAGGCACCTTGTCGTCTCACTCCTGTACCCTCAGGGTGCACCTTCAAGACTGCACGTTGCCTTACATAACGCGGTGGCCTTGTCCCGTGGTTACCATGCCCTTGTGCCATCTGATCCGCTGGCTAAGTCACGTTTCACTAGTTGTCTCCATTTAGCTGCTGGTTTATTTTCATCAGGTTCTGAAGAAGGGCATCCTGTTACCTTGAATGAGCCTCCGTCTCTTTCATCGAGAGCCTCCCCTCCCCTCCTGCTCTGCTCTCCACTTGTTTTGAGCCATGGGGCAGCTGCCCTGCAGAGGTGACAGAGGCTTCACCTCTGGATCGTCTGCTTGGTCCCTGCTTCCCTTGGCCCCGTGCAGCCCCTGGTGGTGTGCTGAGCTGGGCGTTCACTCTGCTCTGCTGGCCCCTCTTGGAGTCCCACTGAGCTCGCTCGGTGGCTTCAGGTGATGGCAGCCGGCCTCCCCACTCTCATCTTCACCTGCTGTTCATCAGGGTCCTGTCAGGTATGCATTGGTGTGCACGTTTGTTAGCTGGGCCATTTCGGGGTCTTGAAGAGAGTACGTGGAGCAAACAAGATGGGTGCCTCATTCTCTCCTTTCACGCCAGTCCTCAGCGCCCGCAGCTGGTGTTCTCCGCACTTGGTCATTTTGTTGAGTGCCTGTCTTCTCCTTCTCCCCGCCTTTCAGTTGTTAGGAGCGCCTGGATTTGTATACGGATTTCACGAGTTTCTGTCAGCTGCCTTCCTGGATCCTTTTGATGCTCACTCACCCTGTGTCAGGGCAGTGTGAGTCCCTTGTGAGCTGGCTCTGTGTTTCTGTGGCATGACTCTTCCTTTTTGGCGTTACAAGATTTTCCAGCCTCGTTTTGTAAACAGTGCTGTGGCCTTGAATCCAGCTGTTTCTCCAGGTGTCTGCCTCCAGGTGGGGAGGGTTTTCAGGGAGGGGCTCTGGTTCTTTTTTTTTTTTTTTTGGTACCAGGGATTGAACTCTGGTCCTTGTGCTTGCACAGCAGGTGGTGAAACCACTGAGCTAAATCCCTGGCCCAGGGGCTCTGGTTCTTAATTGCTTCGAGTCTGTTTTGGTGACAGCTAATGAAGAATGAATTGAAGGTTCTGTTTTTAAATTTAATGTTACAGGATTTTTTTCCCTTTGATTTTATGCTTGTGTCCTATTTTTCTTATATTGAATATTGGTTCCTAACAGTGTTAGCATAAGTTACTTATTTGTGTTGTCCTCCTGGGCAGCACTGCAGCTTGAGTGCTGCATGAGGTGTGGTCTCCAAGGCTTTGACCTTAGAGCTTGTTCCTGGTACATGCAGTTGGCGAGCTGCTCAGGAGTCACTGGGTAGCTATGTCACCAACATGGCCTAAGGTTCATTCTCTGTTTTCAACTTTGAGAATTTTTTTTCTTCTCTATTCAGTTTTGCTTTTTGACTATATAAACATGTATGTGTATGTTTCCAAAGTCAGAACTGTGAAACATGGTGTATTTTAGAGAACTCTTAACTGCATTCTACTGTATTTCCTTCCTCCCCTAAAGGTGGTCATAAAGGGAAGTTTTAGGTTCTCTTTCACCGTGTTTATTTTTATACATAAAAATGAAGTTGTAATGCATTCACATTCCCTTCCTTCGCTCACACACAGTGGCACCAGATGTGTGCTGTTCCATGCCTTGCAGTTCCCACCTAGCACAGAGCCTGTTTCCTGGACAGGGGAGGGATGCTGGCCTTGATCCATGCACCCTGCGCCTGGCAATGGGCTGTGGGCTGCCAGTGGTTTTGCTGCTACAGACGCTGCCTTGAGAATGACCTGCTACCTCAGTCACTTCTCATGTTTACCAGTGGATCTCTGGGATAGACTTCTGGATGTGTGATTACTAGGACAAAAGGTAGATGCATATGTAATTCTTCTAGACATATAGCTGTAATTCTAATGAAATTCTGAGTAGGTGAATTTCACAGTCCTCCACCCAGAAGCAGCCCTGTTTATTTTGCCTTTTGCTGATGTCTTCTCAGTCACCCACACACCCTGTCTTTGTGTGGGGTATATTATTAAAAGTGTCACTTTAGGGTCTCTTGATTTAATTTAGTTCTTCAGAGTACCACTGTATAGAATATAAAGATGAAAAGATTGCTGACATGGTCCCAACCCTCCAAAGAGTTCAAGTAGAGGATTTGGGGCTTATTTTCTTCTTTTATCGCCTCCTCATTCTGTTTGTTGTAATTGTTGTCCTCTGTAGTTTATCTTTTTTTTTTTTTTGTTGGTACCGGAGATTGAACTCGGGACCTTGCGCTTGTGAGGCAGGCACCAGAACCACTGAGCTAAATCCCCGGCCCCCCTCTGTAGTTTATCAAAAGATGGGAAATGTATCCTCACTGCTCCCCCAAATGGAGCAGGCTGTCGTGGGGTGAGGGAGGGAGTCCTAAAGGCCTCCCAGGTATGCCCAGCAGATGTTAATTAAACGCCTCTCTCTGCTGGAACATAGCAGTTCCTCCCTCGAAGTGCTTACATCCTAGTGCAGGAGATGGATCAAAAAGCAAAGAACAGAGATGATTGCCATTGTATAGAGTCCAGCCAGAACCTTCTTGAGGCAGCACAGGCCCAGCTGACACACAGAACCTGCCTAGAGTGGGGGAGAGGTTAGCTCCGAACTGACAACCGAGACTACAAAGGCCCTGAGGCAGGTTGCAGCCTGGCCTGTGTGGGACCTGTCCAGACACAGTGAGCAGCAGAAGAGAGCGAGGACTGGGTCAGGCAGGGCCTTGGACTCTAGGATGAGGAAAGCATGGATGGTCAACTACCAAGGTGCCATGCAAGTAAGTATTTTTCTGTAAATTAGAAGGCAAATCACAGATGAAGTGTTGCTCTCCAAAGTCAGCAGCTTTGTTACCTCCTGATGTTCAGAGTGGCTCTTTTCCTTGTTACTCCCTTGTACAAGGCAGCTGCATTTCACACTCGGGTGTTGAGGACCTCTTCTTTCCATAACATTCCCCGATGGTGTCTGAGTAACTGCAGTGGGCTGGATCGTGTGCTCGGCCTTGAGCAGCAGCATGATCTCTGCACATTTTCTTCTGCAGACCTGCAGACCCAGGAGACAGCCCTCGGGAAGAGAGCAAAGGGAGCTGGTTCCTCTGGACCAAAGAGGTTTGTGGTCTGCCTGGCACGTTATAGGATTAATGGGGGCAGCAGCAGCAGCAGCTTTCCGGACAAAAGGCCTTGTTGACTGACTTTAGTTTCCGTTGCAGAAGACTGGTGAGCCGCCCTTTCTCAGGAGCAAGACGCCGGCCTGGGCCCTGGAGGTGCTGTGGGAAGGCTTTCTGTCTGATGTGGAGGAGGCAGAGCGACACACTGACTCTTCCCGGGAGCCTGCGGGGGCTCACGGCCAGCCAGCGTCATCTCTCCCTGGACATCCGGGAACACACTGGGTGGCCCTTTCTCTAGATGTGAGGAGTATGAGATTGCTCTCCAAGAAGATTCTGGGGTCTTAAACACACAGAGGTTTGCACCTTGGCAGCCCCTTGGAATGTTGGAAACTCAGGAACGAAAAGAAGTTTTATGTCGATGAGTTACGGAGTTGATATGGAAGTATATGTCACTTTATGATCAGTAGTAACACTGAGTGAGGAACACTATGCAGGAAGAAGCCTTCCATAGAAAGACAGGCAGGGAAAAGCTTAGGCTGACCTTGAACTTGCCCCACAGAGCAAGCCTGAGATAGACTGCCAACATGGCCAAATAAGAGACTTGGTGTAGTAGCAGCCGTGAACCGGAGTAGCTGTAAAGAAATTTTCTCCTCTAAATCACGATACCAAATAGGAAAAATGATCTACAAGTGCCCCATGTGTAGGGAATTCTTCTCTGAGAGAGCAGACCTTTTTATGCATCAGAAAATCCACACAGCTGAGAAGCCCCATAAATGTGACAAGTGTGATAAGGGTTTCTTTCATATATCAGAACTTCATATTCATTGGCGAGACCACACAGGAGAGAAGGTCTATAAATGTGATGATTGTGGCAAGGATTTTAGCACTACAACAAAACTCAATAGACATAAGAAAATCCACACAGTGGAGAAGCCCTATAAATGTTACGAGTGTGGCAAAGCCTTCAATTGGAGCTCCCATCTGCAAATTCATATGAGAGTCCACACAGGCGAGAAGCCCTATGTCTGTAGTGAGTGTGGCAGGGGCTTCAGTAATAGCTCAAACCTTTGCATGCACCAGAGGGTCCACACGGGCGAGAAACCTTTCAAATGTGAAGAGTGTGGGAAGGCCTTCAGGCACACCTCCAGTCTCTGCATGCACCAAAGGGTCCACACCGGAGAGAAGCCCTATAAATGCTACGAGTGTGGGAAGGCCTTCAGCCAGAGCTCCAGCCTCTGCATCCACCAGAGAGTGCACACAGGAGAGAAACCCTATAGGTGTTGTGGGTGTGGGAAGGCCTTCAGCCAGAGCTCCAGTCTTTGTATCCACCAGAGAGTGCACACAGGAGAGAAACCCTTTAAGTGTGATGAGTGTGGGAAGGCCTTCAGCCAGAGCACTAGCCTCTGCATCCACCAGAGAGTGCACACCAAGGAGAGAAACCATCTCAAAATATCAGTTATATAAAACATTTTGCTAAGAGTTAAAAATCTTAAAACCCGTAAGTGCCACTAGGAAGGAAACCCTGTATATACTACATTGACCCAAGAAAGATTGACAGCAGTTCCCAGCAAATTGTTCTTTTGAGGAGGCTTAGGCGAGGTTCATTTTTTTGGTTCATTGATTGATGCCAAGTGTGTTCTGCACCTGACTTTGAACGTGGGAGCCTTCTGAGCAGGTGCCCGAGAACGGCTCTTGCGTCCCAGTCATGGATGCGCACTTCCCAGGATCTGGTGACACCTCAGTAGTTGAGATGCCGCCCCAAGCCAGGGAGCAGGGCCAGGCCTCCTGAGCCGCCTTCAGCCTGCTGTCCTGAGAAGTGACCTGGTGCTCCCTCGGGAGCTCCCGCCCCTTCCTCCTCTCCAGCCCCTCCTGGTCAGTGCGTCTGGAGAGGGACAGCTCCCACTCTGCGCGTGTTCTGGTATTTTTGAGGTTGCCATGTGACTCGGCTCCGACATCGCTTTCCATGTGTCCCATTATTTCTGCACCCACTTAACCTCATGTCCTCAAATCCCCACCCCTTCCTAGATGGCATTCAACTTGATTTAGATTTTAGGTGACTCATTACACCCACTCCCCTGGCCTATCAGAAGTCATTGGCAGGCGAACACGCTCTAGAACTTAAGTTTTGTGGATCCTGCTAATCACTGTCTCCACTGTAGACTTATTTTCTAGTGGCTGCACCACGTATTTTGAACTTGAATTTTTGTTGGGGGGGTAGCTGAGTATAACCCTAGGGGGAAGAAGCAAGCAGAGTGTGAACCCGTGTCCCTCTGGAGTTGCTTTCTCTGTAACACGGGGTGCTCCTGAGCTAGGGGAGACCTGAGGAGAAGGGGATAGATGGCAGGAGGAGCCACTGGTGGCCGTGGTCGTGTCGCTGTTCTGTCACCTGGGCAGTGATGTGGGGGAGTCCTCGGCACTGTGCCAGTTCCTCTTCAGGCGTGAGCGTCTGTTCTCGTTCTGTCATTCGCATTCTTCGAAGGCACTGTGCAGGGCGCTGGGCACACCCCTGCGTCAGATGAGGTCTTTGCTCTCTCTGAGTTCTTTTCTGGTGGAGGACACAGATGATAAGCAAGTAAACAAATAAATAATGTAGTTTGAGGTAGTGGTTAAGTGCTATGAAGAAAATAAACGAGGGTGGTGATGTAGAGTGGGGGGTGGGGGTGGGCAGCGTTAGCTAGGGTCAGGGAGGGCCCTGCCAAGGGCTGCTGGGCCAGGCCGCGGCAGGTGCTGCTTGCTGGGGGACAGGAGGCCGGCCAGGGCCAGGCCGGGTGTGAGCACAGAGGCCGTGCTGAGCCGCATGGTGTCCTGACTTCTGTGGGCGTGTTGCTTTGCTTTGTTCTTACTAGATTGATACTAAAAACTCATGTGGAGAACTCAAGGAATGTTTGGAAGACCAAAAGTCCCCAGTGGCAAGAACAAAAGCAACCAGTTCTTACCTTTGTTTTGCTTCTCATTCCTGTTTCATTGATTTCCCACATGCAGCCCTTATGCTCAGGAAGTCTTTGGGGAAATTAAGGATCTTTGAAGCTCTGAAATGGGTGGTCAGGTTGGTGGTGTCTGTCCGCTGTCTGAGGTTGGAAACGAATTTCTCAAAATAGTTACAGGAATACTGAAACTACACTTTGATTTTTCCCTCCATGTTTAACTTAGTTTTCTGTGTGACTGGAAGGGGTTTTTGTATAACTAAAACCTCAGCGCTTTGTGAAGCAAGTTTCAGAGGAGCACACGGTGTACGGGTGGGCCTGGGAGCCGGGGAGGATGCGGTCCGCAACTGGGTGTGAGCCTGCGTCTGCTGACCGACTTGCCCTCACGCTGGCTCTTCCTCAGGCGAGGCGGCTCCTCGCTCGCTCCCCTTCCAGCTGCAGTCCACCGTGCGGTTCACTGTAGTGTCTCGCCACTCTCCATGTCACGGTAGCGCGGAGCAGTAGAGAAAAGCCTAGACTTTAGTTGATAGAGAGCCGATTGAAATATCATTGATAGAATTTTAGTTTTAGGAAAAATTGATTTGATTTCTAGCTTTATTACTATTAGGTATGTGAGCTTGGGCAAATCGCTTAATCTTTTGAGTCTAGTTTTCTCACCAAATGAGGATATTAGACTAAATGATTTCCGAGTTTCCAGCTAGTCCTAGAGTTCTATATTTCTACATAGTTGAATTATTTTATCATGCTGTTGCTGGGGAATATGACTAACACTTTTGAAGCTACTAATTTTATGTCAAGCTTTAAAGTCCATAATTGTTATCTTCAGAAAATATTATTTGACCTACAGTATGTCCAAATCAATTTAATAAAATCACTTTATAACAGGGCTCCGTGCTTGACCTGCTGTGTATGAACTCGGTGGTTGTGGTGTGTCGGTGGGGGTGGTTTCAAGTGTACATTATGCCCCAGATTTTTACACAGACTTTAATGATCTTAAAACATAGGCAGCGGGACACATGTCTCCGGTAGGAGCCCCTTTTGTTGCTGCCGTCATGGTGCCTGCGGACGCTCGGCCTGCTCACTGGCCCTCGCTGGTGCTGGGGTCCTGGCTCTGAGGTGGCAGTAGCCCAAGCTGGCCTGGAGGGCTGGCTGGGAGGAGGGCTCTGGCTGGACCCTCCAGTGCCACGGGAAGTCGGGAGAGACATCCACGGTCTCCTCCCTGCGTCTTACGGCTGGAAGAAGCGGAAGTTGGGGATTCCTGAGTGTTGAGGCAGCCGGAACACAGCTCTCCAAGCCACCTTCCACATCTTGATGCTGCTCAGAAAGATTGATTGATTGATTTTTGATACCGGGAATCGAACTCAGGACCTTGCTCTTGCCAGGCAGGCGCTGTGCCACCGAGCTACATCGGAAAAGATTTAAAACCATGTATCTAGTGATTTTTCCATGTAATTTGCTGTCCTCGGGAATATGAAAAAAGGGGTGAAGGGAAAACCAGTTCAGAAGCAGTACTCTAGTACTTGGAAAAGTACTTAGTGGTAACGGCAACCAAAGGAAGCCATGTGAGGGGCTGGTACCATTACAGGCTAGAGATGGCAGGGACAGGAATGGTGCGGGTGACCCAGTGCCTGCCCTGGCCTAGTGCAGCGTCTCCCTGACCCTCGTGGCTAACCTGTGAGGTAGCGGAAGTGCCCAAGCTCCAGAATGGCGGGAGGAGAACACACGCCCTTAACCTTGAGCACTAGCACAACAGCAGAGCTCCCAGCGGCCTCCAGGGGGCTGGCCACAGGCCTGGGTTCTCAGTTCTCGCACTAAGCACTGCTAGGGGCAGGGGCATCAGACCAGGCAGGCCCTGGGAAAGGCGGAAGGGCTGCACATAATACAGGCACCTTCCTCTTGGAGACAGGAAGGTGAAGCCAGAAAGCGAGGGAGGCAGGGGACCTTCAGGAGGACCCTGTAGAGTCGTAAACTTTCCTTTTCCTGTGGGGGGACTGAGCTGTCCAGGCTGAAGAGGGGAGACCCTGGGTGGAGGAGCCAGAGGGTTCCTGAGCTCCAGGTGGAGCAGGCCCAGACCCCTAGGGGCGGGCAGGTCTCCTGTGTTACCACCTGGTGTAAGGTAGACCAGCTTACGAGCTTGAGTACATTGAAATGTGGGGAATAATGAGTTTTTCTTGGTTTTCCTCATACACGAGCAGATCAGAGCTCGAAGGCCTGGCATGTGCACGCCCCAGTAAGAACTCGGCACACATCCCAGCAGAAGTGACCAGAGCTCTGCTTGGGTTTCAGCATCTGCACCTACAGTGGACCTCTGAAGAGCAGCTTACGAGATGGCTCTACGCCGGGTGAATTTATACACTTTATAGACTGTTCTGTGTGCGCCCTGCCCTTGTATTTCGGGCATGATGCTTCCAGAAGTGGATTCACTCACAGCCTGGTTTTCCCTCCCTTCCGGTCCCCATCTTCTCTGCATCAGGAATTGCGGAGGGAGCGTCCCAGCCGGAGAGGAAGCCTAGGGTCCGCTGGTGGCCTGGAGGGAGACAAGTCCCACATTGTGTGTACTTTTGTTCTGGTGAGGGAGCCCCGGACAGACAGGACACTGCCTCCTCACACGAAGAGCACCAGCTCCAGAAGCTTGTGCTTTCAGCAGCACGCAGTCAGCCACTCAGCGCAAGGACCCAGGCACGGGCCCCAGGACAGCCAGGACAGGATGGCAATGTCCGTCCCTCAGATGCCTTCGGAGAGCTCGGCCTCTGCTGGAGGAAGTGGAGCCTCAGTAGGTGGGGCCCAGCCTCCAAGGGACCGCAGGACCCTGAATTTGCCTCTCACTCACTCTCTTCCTGGCTACGAGGCGAGCAGTCTGTGCCCGTGGTCTCCCCCCACCAGTGCTCACCCGAGCAGTGGGGCCGCCGGCCGTGGGCTGCAGCCTCTGAAGCAGGGCCAGAGCGAGGCAGTTCTGTTTGAAACTTGGTAGCTCAGATAATTGTTCAAGTAGTGGAACGTCAATTCGCACAGATAAAATAAGTGCAAGAAAAAGTAACGGTGTGCTGTGTTATAAAGAGAGGGAAAGGACGTTGGCAGAAAAGTGCGTGAGTGCGCGTGTGTGCTTGTGTGTTGCCTCACTGGGCTCCGAGGATAAGCTGTCTACAGTGTGACACAAAAGCTCTGTGACCAGTGTATGGAAGTCAGGGTAGGGGCAGCTGGACGTGGGAGGAACTGGCTGTGTACGCAGGAAACGGTATCACACCTGAGTGTCCCTGGGTCAGAGGAGGCAGTTCTGGCTGTGAAGTGGCCATGAGGTCTCCGGTGCTGGTGTGGGGTGTTTTCAGGTTCTCAGTGAAGCTATTCCTGTCACTTGGAGAGGTCTTCTGTGTGTCATTTCCGGCCCCCACTTGACCTGCTGGGGCTCAGGAGAGGTGACATCTCAGTGCTCCAGCCAGCCTCCCCGAGCCTCCGCCCTGTCTATCCCTAACATGTCCCGTCACCCCTGGTGTCCTGTCCTCTTTCTGAGCTAAGCTCGGGATCCACAGGCACTTGCTGCTGTTTAGGAGCTGGAGGACAAGCTGGAGATTGTGGCTGGATGGCCAGCAAGCCACTCCCAAGCCACTGTCACCATGCAGTGTCACTGCTGAGCACAGCATCAGGGAACTGTGGGTCCCATCTGCACTGCTCACGACAGTTCATTCGGCCCCATGAACGTTGGGACGAGAAAAGGGAAAAGCAGGAAGGCATAAAATAAGCTCTTGGCATACACTTAAATACCCATTACTCCTGGTAAACGTGGATGAGTTAAATTCTGCTGTTCATGGATGTTTTCAAGTTGGACTATAAACCTCACTGCAAATCTGTGTATACGCTGGTGCATGAGACCCCCTGAAATAAAGAGATGACACAAACGGCTGGGAATAAAGGGCAGGAAGATGTCAGAAGATGCTGGGAGAGAGCATCTGGGAGCACTGTCCATCCCCGGAGGGTGCGAGGGAAGACAGCGGCAGTGGAAGGGTGACTGGTGAGATGGAACACGGAGCTGTCGTGCTGTGATGGCCGCATGGCTTGGAAAGACAGTAGGGTCCGGTGAGAAGCCAAGCGCTCCACCTCGGCAGCGGCTGTTAACCTGCCTTCTTGGACAGCCTCAGATCGGCCAGACCAGGACCCGGCTGTGTGGCACAGACTGCCTCCGTCAGCTGTGCGTGAGTCCACTAGCAACAGTCATGAAGGTTGGGAAAATAAATGTGGGAGATGTAGGACTTTTCATTTAGCAGATGCACTGTCTTCATGCCGAGCATGCCCCTTCCTAACCCTGCACGTGTTTGTGTGCTGAGTCCCACCCACCCTTGGTGAATTACCACAGCGTCATAGCACTGTGTAGTTCCTGGGAGCTCTGGCTCCTTCCTGGGGTGGGGCTCCCCGAAGTGCAGCCGGTTATCAGAGTGCCTCCCCTTGGACATGGTGATTGGTTGCTCAGGGGCCCAGTGAGCCGTGCGTTTCTGGGACCCGGCCAGGCGGGAGCAGTCGTGACCACAAAGTGTGGCTTCCTTGTCATTGTGTCCCCTCCACTCTCCACCCCCTGGGAAACTGACAGAATCCCCCGAGCCTGCAGCAGGGCAGCGCCCTTGTTGCAGCTGTCTCTCGGGATGCTCCGGGCCCAGGACTGGTGGGCTGCTGCAGGGGGTCAGGTCATAGACCTCACCTTGAGGTCCCCAGTCCTTCGCAGCCCTGGCCCCTGCTCTTGGACTCTGGGGGCTCAGCCTCTCCTCACCCCGCCATGGTCCTCTCTTCCCCTGTCGGTCTGTCTCCCATTCCTGCTGTCTGTCTCTGCACAAGGCCTGGAGATGGACAGCAGCCAGACTACAGGGGAGGAGGAGCCTCCCGGAGCCCCTCCTTGGGCCTAGCCTGGGACCTCGGGCAAGTTTCTTTATCTCTCTGCACCTCCGTTTCCTCCGCTAGAGCAGAACAGTGGCAGTCCCTTGTCTCAAAGGAGGGCTGTGAGGGCCGCGAATTTAGCTCAGTGGCGCTGCACCTCCCTGGCAAGTGCAAGGTCCTGAGTTTGATTCCTGGTACAAAAAAAGTAGGTAGGGCTGTGAGGCTGAGCGGAGCTTGAGAGTAGAAAGCTCTTGGCAGGTGCTCGGCCTGGAGGGAGGGCTCAGCATGGCCCAGCTGTCTTGACCCGCACCCTCGCAGAGCCGTAGAGGCACCCAGGGTGTTTGGACCTTGCAGAAAAGAGCTGGGCCTCCCTAGCAAAGCTGCCGGCAGCTGGGCCTGCGCCTGACCAAGCAACAGGCCTGGCGGACGCAGCTGTAGTTGGAAGCAAGGTGGCCACTGAGCACTGGCACAGGTGTGTCTGCATCTGCCCAGCCAGGGGTGCCCTCGACACCCCAGAACGCTGCCTGGGAGCCCCTTCTCCCGGACACAGCTGAGTGCAGCCCCCGGGGATCCCGAGACAGGCTGGGTGGGTTCTGCAGGGAGCCAGGGCCCAGCGAAAGCGGGGTGGGAAGAACATTTTGGTCCCTTTCTCTGGCAGCGAGGGCTCAGGTCTGTGCGCTCTCTGAGCTGAGATCCCGGCAGAGATGAGAGGAGGGGACAGCGCCCTGGATTGCCCTTGCTGGGGACGCCCTGCAGGGCTCCCAGCTGGCATCTGGGTGCTGATGCATGTCCAGGGCCGTCGGCGTCTCCCACGTGCCTGCCGACTGTCTGCCCACCACCCAGCTGTGGCTGTGGTGGAAGTCAGCCCTTGGGGGTTGGTGGCATTGAGACTGCAGCGCCCGGCACCCCGGCTTCTCCCTGCTCCTGAAGTCTCCTTGGGGTGAGCTCTTTGGGATCCTTTGGAAGCAGGTTACCAGGGAGAGATGCTGTGTTTAGTTATTCTTTTATTTTTATCTTATTTAAAATA